GGTATCTATGGCCACCCAAAATTCTTCTTACACTGGTAGTTCCCCACTTTGTAAATTCCTCCTTTTAATGTAGAACTGAAACAAAAATAAAACCAAGAAGACGGATGTTTCTCAGCCTCTCTTGCTACTAGGATGTAAGCAAATAATTTAGAGCCCTCCAATCAAATGCAGCTGAACTGGCCTTCAGTTCCAGAGAGATACATGAGGTGAGAGGCTGGGCACAGGCCTGGTTAGCGGTGGTGTGTGGCAGCAGTGGAAGCCTGGGTTCCAGGGTCTGCTGGGGCAGCTCCCCCCGGGGAGGAGGCAGCTGGTTCCAGGCTCAGCAGAGACAAGGGCAGTTCAGAGAACGCCAGCCAAGTTCTCTCAGGGGCTTCTGGGTCCTGTTCTAGGAACTCTGCCTCGACTGCTACCCGCAGTGATCCTATCAGCTCCGTAGCATCTCTTAGGAAAACGCTTTTCTTGTTCAGCTACATGGTGTGTCATCTCCCCCCAAAGAACCGTACTCACTGAGCTCCGTTTCAAAGAAACACGATCATCAAGAACTTAACTTTTCTCAAGTGAGAGAGGTATTCACAGTACCTTCTTTACTTCTATTTCTTCCTTCAGCTCCGTGATCCTACTCGTATTCCGTGCAAACTTGTTTATCTTCTGTTGGTCTTCAAAAGTAACATTGACATCTTCTGCAGCCTGAAAAGAAAGTTCTATTTTTCTGTCAAAGGATTTTCCTGGAGAAGGTGAAGGTTAACGTCGCACACAGTCTGAGACAATCACCTACGTTCCCTCATGTCGAGAATTCCAAGGGTGAACGTCTCAACTGGGGCCTGACGATGCTTCCCCCTGTGAGCCCAGGCCTCCCCCCTAACTCTGCCACCTCTTCTACGTAATGATGCCTAACCTACAGCACAGCCCAGACAGAAACACTCAGCACAGTCCCAACAAAAAGACACTCAAGTCAGCACATTGTCACGACCCTACTGAGGCTCTCAGGAATCCGACAGCGTCCACAGTTACCGGCCAACTGGTGCGCCGGCCGGAGAGGGAGACTGCATCTCACGGGCGTATTCCCCAGAGTGAAAATTATGTTTATTTTAATGTAGTGCCTGTTTACATGTCTGAACTATGATTTAGGTGTAATTCCAAACAATGACAAGAATCGTATTCTAAAAATATTTAATGTGATGAAATCTGCAAGTAAAGTGAGAGCATTTGGATGATATAAAGCATATTTATAAAACAATAAAAACAATAGCTAATATTCAGTGAACTCTCACCATGTGCCAACCACTTGCTAAGTGTTTTCTCATCTCCTCTAAACCTTCAGTCAATCTTAGTGCGCCGAATCGTTAGTAAGACTATTTGCAGATGGCAAACTGGCAGGAGAGTCTAAGGGCTTTGCCAGCACTACACTGCAAGCAGTGGCAGAGCTGGTTCCAACCCAGGTGGCGTGGCCCAAATCCACAGACAGGTCCCTGAGCTCTCAGAAGTTAAATGCACGCATGTGTGTTTGCACACACACATGTGTGTGTATGTGTGTACACACACATGTGCACACACATATTTGGAAGAGGTAGGGGAAGTCCTTGGCTTTCATCAGATTCCCAAAGTGAGTTCAACATTAAAAATTTTTTTTTTAATTATACTCTTTTGGGTTTCCCCTCAATTATAAAATGGGAACAGGAGTCGCTGCTGCTGTTGTCAGGTGCCGCAGAATCACTTCTGACTCACAGCGACCCACGTGACAGAG